ACCGCGACAGAGAAAGAGCCAACAGCGGCCAGGGCTAACCCAGTGTTGGGATTGCCAAAATGGTCGTGCAACCACAGGACGGCATTAGTGGCACCAGCAACAATGGTCTGGAAACACGGAAAACCTACCAGGTTGGAGAGCTCCGGGACCTCCACAGCCTGCCTAGGCGCATGATTCCGCTCCCGAAGCCATGCCTGAACTGCTCTGTGAGGGCTTCGGCCCGTGACGGTATCGTGCAGAATTTGCACACCGCGATGAACCGTCAAAACCGCAATCTGACGGTATGGCAGCACATCTAACCACCGAGATGGCCGAGCGAGCTCAGAATAAAGGAGAAAGCGGCTGGCATCAGCTCGCCCAAATTCTTTGTCCAGCTCAACCCGAATGACATCACCGTGCCGGAGCGGCGTGGCCATCGGCAGGAAACGCACACAGTCGGATCTCAACTTAGCTTCACACTGTCTCAAGAGGAAGTCCTGCGGAGCTTCACGGGGCACATCAATGCAAATGCAGAATGTATCCGATGCGAAGAGCGTTGTGCGATATCCCGATTCAGTGGTAACAGCGACGAAGTGTACAGCCAGAGCATGTGGCGACGTAGCTGCAGGGACAACTTGGCCTCGGCCCCACGACCTAGCTTTCTCGGTGAGTGTCTCACGAAGGCGATGCCTAGACATAGATCCTGGTACTCTGAATTCCTCAAAGTGGTCCGGGGCCCAGAGACAGACATTGACCTCCAGATCATGATGGAGGGTGCCATACCCAGAGACAATCGGCAGAAAGTCACCCTCCAGGCCTGTGACAAAACCTTGTTGCAGTCGGAGGTGCATCGAGGCGTCGTGATACACCAGGTCGGGCTGGAACCGGGGAAGAGGCATGGTGCTAGCCGTGCCAGTCAAGTCAGTAGGCTCACTAACCGCACGACCAGCAGAGGCCAGGGTCGCGAAGTACCCCGCTAAGAGCACATTCCTCAGCCATCCCTGGCGAAGTAACCCGAGACTAATCCATCCAGCAGCGCTAGGGTTCACTTGAGGTGCTGGGGCTGCCGTGTTATCTCCGGGATGCGGCAAAGTGGCATCCGCCGTCGGCTGCGTGGAGGTCTCAGTTCTAGCCCTAGCTTGACCCATTGTGTGAGGTCTGCGGTGAGGGACAAGAGTCAGGCAAACAGGAGGGTCACTATCAAGGGAAGTTGTGGGAGAAATTACAACTTCTTGATGGAGGAGCCTCAATTGACCCTCGTGAAGTCCTCGCAGAATCTCCGGTCCAGTGGGACCCGCTTGCCTGAAGGTAGGGAGTTGCATAAGTACATCAGCAACAGGGGTCCGGGGTCCTAAGTACACCAGGCTAATTTCACCCCCAACTGCACGGGCATCGACTACATAGGTGACCTGAAGGGCAGACTGCTCGGCTTGAGCGAATTGCAGTGGCGGTAGTCCCGGCATATGCGGCCACACCCTTTGCAAGCGGAGAGGACCAATATCTCCAACCGCTTCGTACGCTTCACGAAGGAGTTCGTCCCGATCATGGAACGGGTCCGTGTCGTAGAAAATGAGACCGGTGAGCGTACTGATCACAGCTCTGGCATGGGGATTGACAATCAATTCAAAACCCTGGTCAGTTCCATCAAAGGAGCTGACCGCCATCCGGTGCTCCGCTGAGTGAGTAGGACTGCGGCTGCCTCTCGTCTCTTCGGCATACACCGGTAGTGCTTGCAAAGCGTCGTTGCCGTGGAGGAGGAGTGCCTGACACTCGGGCTCAAAGAACCCGTGCCGGGTGCGGCATACGGTATAGGCAAGATCCAAGGCCAGATCCTGGCTTCTAGCGGCAGCAACAAGAAAGTAACTAGCCAACTGTTGACGTGGCCCCCGGACAACCGAAATGGTACCTCCAAGGGCACAGAGGTCAACTGGGATGCATGCCTGGTTCCATGCCACATCATTAGGAATGACAACAACCTGCTCCAAAGGCAAGGCGGGCAGTAGCGTCTGGAGCTCATGGACATGCCAGAGCTGGAATGACAGACCCACAAGCTGCAGAATGACCCTGTGCAGCTGAACCCCGTGCAGCCGCGTATCAATCGCAACCTGAATCGGACCTCCCGACGTGTGTCCTGCCACAAAGACAGCAATGGACCTGAGGCAGTGAGGCTCGGGGTTGCCTGGGTTAGGGAGTCCAGCAGCGGCATTGAGGAGGGGACCCTCAAGCTCATGCAGCCCATGTGCCCGCGGTACAGTGCCGACAGTAAGAAGGGTCTCCCCACGGAATCTCCGACTATGACGTACCTGCACAAGTGACATAGCATCTTGGGTCACCCCTATGCAGCTCTCAGGGGCAAGAGGGCAAGAGTGACCAGAGCTGCCGATGTCTGGCTCAGTCCGTGGCTGAAATGAAGGACCCGATCCGGCGGCGTGAACATGGGATGAGGCGATGAGCCACAGCAGGAAGCCGACGCGCACATGCTTGCCGCTACCTGTCTTGCCCGAGGTACCGCTTCCATGGCCCTGTGCCCGGGAACGCCGAAAGGAAGAGCACAAGCAAGTCGGGCAGAGGGCGAGGCAGGAGGGAGGCCCAATTCCAAGGCACAAGCAACCGAGGAGTTGATAGCACAGCTGTCTGGCAAGAAGAGCGAGACTTCCCAGGAAAATCACTGTACAAATTCGCCAAAACATCTGTACAACTCTCAAGTCCAGCCTCCAAGTAATATTACGAGCGTCAGCTCCGATTGCGCTGCGACTCATTCGAAGGGACATTCCTGTTCCAGCAGGATCAGTTCCACGTCGTCCTCTGTCCGGGTCGTGGGCAGATGGCCCTTTGGTTGCAGGCCTTGCTGGAGTACCACATGAGGATTTGCCCACTCCTGCAGCGTTTGCGGGGCAAAGTTGGCAAGCCCCGCCACTCTTTGGTTGAGAAGGTGGGCCAGGGCTACCAAGCCTTGCCTGCATGTAGTTACCAACACTGGCTGCGAGTGTATCATTCCGCCGAGGTGTCGTACCTCTCGACTGACCGGCAGTATGTGGTGGCCCTTGACCTCGTCGGGATGCTCTGCATGTGCACGCAAGGCCTGCCAAAGGGTCTCGGCCTTTTGGTGACACTCTTGGATCTCGTCGGCGCTGGCAGGTTGTCCAGGCAGATGCACCTGTTCCAAGTGCCCCGGAACATCGCCGACCAGATCCGAGCCTTGGACTGTGATGCGCTGAGCCATATTGACCCACGCATGAAACCACGCCTGCTGAGCAAATTGCCAGTCTCGCTCGCCTTGTTCCGCATCTGCAGAAAGGCCAAGCGGGACTGCCTCCTCGTCCAGGGATCCTGAAGCGGCACCTGGGTCGTGATCGCCAGCATCGTCTGCCTTGAATATCGCCGCAGGCTTGTTCATAGTGGGCGACCTGCCCGTGGCCGTCGATAGCCAAGGTGACGGTATATCCGCCTCGCGCAGAACCTCCGTGTGACCATCTGAGGCGATCTTGCCAGTCTTGCGGGGGCTCTTGGAAGGCCTGGTCGAGACCGGGTTCGTCATCCTTTTTTGGCCCCATCTCCGGCCCAGGCCTGTGCCAACCGGGGCCGATGTGTCCAGAGTGTTCGGACTTCGCGCCGAGGAGTCCAGGGATGGTATCGAACTGGCAGGGACAGAAGCAAAACTGCCTTGCTCTACCAGCATGCCTTCTTCTGTATTCCCAAAGAGAGGGAGCGCTGCATGCGGCTGCGGCATACTTGATGCTGGCGGGGCGACTGCACCAGCCGCGCGCAGCTCCGCAGCTAATCGAAGGACTTCGTGCCCGACCACGGCAGGAATCGCCGGCCCGAGCACCTCCGTCGCATGCTGTCTCAGAGCTGCCGCTTGCCCTGCCACCAGCCCTTGTGATGCCATGTCCAGGGCCATGATGGCTTCTTGGATATCCGCATCGATCTTGGCCCCGACTCCGTTGATCTGGCGTGGGATAGCCGCCAAATGGCGTCCCACCTTGTCCAACCAGGCTGGAAGCACTGTCTGAAGCCCCAGCTTGGCTTTCGCATTTGCTTCGAGACGCTTGGTCGCGCGAGCAACTGCGGACGCCTGGAGGTTGGCTGCTTGAATAAGAGTTCGATCCTCGTCCACGGTAAAGTCGTCTAGTCTCAGGTCCGACGTGGACCTGTCGCGAATAGACTGTAGAGCCGCAATCACCTCCTGCGGGAATCCCAGCTGAACAGTGGACGTAGTCGGCAGGGGCCCTTCCGGCTTGTTGCCCTTGCTGTCTCCCTTGCCTCGGCCCCGTTCTTTTGAGGGCGCTCCCTTGGGTGGCATCGACCCGTGGTGTTGCGATAGGAGAACTCTGTCCCTCACTGTACCTCGGCCTCGGCGGAGGCGAAGGCGGGCTTGGAGACGCTGCCTGCGTCTCCGCCTGTGCCACCCTGGTTCCTGAAACCTGCGGATCGCGAGGTGGTTGACCCGCCCACAAAAGGCCGAGACCGAAAAGTAGGAGCGGGAGGATAGGCCAGAAGGTGCGTCCTGTGCCCATAGAAGACGATACCACCTTTGTTGGCAGAGCAAACTGCAGCAACAAAGAAGCGGTGGCCAGCCGCGCAGCAAAAGGCCAATCAGCACTGCAGGGCCGCAGAGAAGGCCGACGGCAGAGTAAACTGCAGCGTCAGCAAGCGGGGGCAAGTCCGCAGAAAGAGCCCAGAAAATGTGGCGCCACCCACGATAAAAGGCAAGGTAGGCCCACCAGAGGCAGCTACCGGGGAATACAGTCCCCAAGGGTGCAAAAGCACCGAGCCTCCGATTTCCAAATCGAAGGCAGTCGCGATGGCTGACGAGACAGGGATCGCTAGGGTCTGGAACCTAATAAGCAAAAAGGCGGAATCGCAGAGACCACCCAATGCGTTATCTGAGCCGTGACGCCTTCAACCCTAAACCCTAAATCCTTAAACCCTAAACCCCTAAACCCTAAAACCCTAAAACCTAAACCCCTAAAGCCTAAACCTCAAACCCGGCCCTAAACCCTAAACCGCAGTCGGGTCTCTGACCAGTGCCCTCGGACACGCCCGGCGGTTCAGCCGCGCTCTTCGCCAGCCGCAGCTCACGCCACTCCTGCGGGGCCACAGGGCTGCAATCAGAGTTTTGGAGACGTCTATTCGTAGTGCAAGTTTTACTGTAGAGGCCTTCATAATTACCTATACTATTCTGGGGGTTCCTGATCACAATTAAGTATATTGGGCTCCGAAACCACATTCTAATTAAGAAGGCTCCGATAAGAAACTTCAAATTGAGGCTTCAACTGCTGCCAGCCCTAAACCGTCCTGCTTGATGGGCCCTGGCGGGGTTCCGAGCCAGTAGTCATCCTGCTCCGAGGCATCGTGCTGGGATACCACGGCCCATCCGAAGTCCGACTGCTCTGCCGCAACCCTGTCTCCGGACATCGTCTGGTACTCCTTGCCTCGGCGATAAAGAGTCAAGGCGATGTCTGCTGCTTCATCAACGGGACAGGTGCCTACCTAACCTGCTACTTATTCCCGAAAAGACCCTGCTCTTAGCCCAAGCTGCATACGGCCACCCTGCCGGGATCCTCTGGGTCGACCTCCTCCTCGGGGCCAAAGAGGTTTCCGAAGAAGCGCCGCGACACGTTGGCGCTGCGATGCCGGCGTGAGCGCAAGGCCCCGGCTCGGGCCACCGCAGCAGCAAGGCCAAGCCCCGAAAACCCCACGGCGAGCCCTGGCCAGGTGCCCAGCGATGCCCCGCTTTCAGGCGCTTGACTTCGAAGTCCGCGCAGGGATGAGGCGGCACTTTGGCCGGGTAGCTTGGTGGGCGCCCGGCCGCTTGCGCCTTCCACGAAGCCGATTGGCTTGGCGCAGGCTGCCCAAACAAGCGCAAGTCCTGCCACCGGTACTATCTGCTGCACAGTCGGCCCTTTCTTCTCCATCATTGCAGAAGCCATGCAGAAGCTCTCTTTGGAAACGCAAATAAGAAGTGAAATGAGTGCAACAGTAGCCTCAGCATGGGCGCTGTCCTGGTTGAAGATGATACATTACTCCCGACACTAATCCTAAGAACCAAATGCTAAGCTGGTTGAATTCCGGAGCCGATTTGCACATGGTTCGGCGGGTCATGGCAGTAGGCCGAAACGGCTGGGGACAGAACGGATCAACGTCACGTCATTGGTGCCTAAGTCTGCACTGAACTGTAAGCTTGAACCTCGCTGCTCAACCCTTAACGCCCAAACTTTTCCCCGAACTCCTCAACCCGAAGGCAGCAGGCCAATAACTATCGTTGTGGTGGCTCGCTACAGCTATGCGAGTCAACATCTTCAGTGCCGAAGCTTGGAACTTGGGAGTTGCACTGGATACCGGATGGTGCAGGATGCAGCAAAAGTCCCAGCTCCTTGGTCTAAGCTCCTCATTACGGCTCCACCTTACGAGGCGGCTGCCCACCGATGTCGACTCGCGGACGATGCGCACCTGGGGCTGAAATAACATCAGGCCGACGTTGAGTTTCGAACTCAGGGGACTTGCACGCTCCCCTGCAGTCAACACCACAACTTGCTTTGATCCTTTTCATCCGTTGCTGGAAACAGCCACACAGCAACTCCACTGTGCAACAGCGTACGTTGGGGATTTGCCCGTGCATGCAATCTCTTGCAAAACGCCAGAAGCCACAGAAGCCAAAGGTCAAAACAATGCCCTGAATCACTAAACACCTAAACCCTAAACACCCTACAGCCTAAACTGAAGCCGTGGAGCCACCCAAGGCAAAGCCCAGCCAGCCTTGATTACAAGCCCTACATGCCCACAGCCCTGGACACCCTCAAGCTCCGAAATGCAAGCCTCAACCCCAAACCCTAAACCCTTGCAAAGCCCTTATGAAATCCCATAAGGCCCTATCTCGAGCTTTTTAGACAGCAATTAAACCTTCTGAAAGCTTCAGGCCGACACTAAACAGACACCTTACACACGAAATCACACCAATGAAAACACACGAACACCTCATAAAAGCCCTACGGACCCCCTTGCCAAACCCCACATAACCTTAGCTAAACGGGTGAAGTTTTACTTTTGAGGCCCGAGGCGGCCGTCGCCGGAGGCTTCGGCACAGCCTCGCCGCCCTCCTAACAAAAGGAGGGGGTTTAGGGTTCTTTTTTGCGGTTTAGGGTTTGTTTGTTCAGGGTTTAGGGTCAATTCCGGACGCCAGGATTAGGTAGGGCTTCGAGGCTTGTAGGGGTGTGGGGCTTAAGGGTGTTTTGAGTATAGGGGTTAACGGTTCTGAGTTTCTAGTTGTTTGGGGAGCTATGGGGTGTTCGACTTTTAGGATGTTGAGGATTTGCTGTTTAAGGTCTTTGGCTTCCGGTTGAGGATGTGTTTAGGGTTTAGGGGCCAAGGGTGCAGGCATGGTGGGATTTCCGGCCTTACTGACAAGAACTCCGATTGTGGAGTGGGCCACCTCTCAGCCCGCGACACCATGAAGCCAATGTCTGTCTACCTATCTATCTATCGATCTGTCGATCTATCTATCGATCCATCTATAAGCCATACAACCTGGAACGCACCGAGCTTCGTCAGCATGGTGAAGTTTCAGAACAACCCCAACCCTAAACCCAATCCCCGGGCCCCTCCCCCGACTGGCCTTGTCAGAGCTTACGACGGCTGCCATGCACCTGGAGCCAGGCTGGAACTCTTGTCTACGTCCTGAACTGTAAATGACTGGAAATACGGTTGATGATATAAATGCTGCATGACCTTAGGGACCCTAAACTATGGGAATTATGGTATATTCCTTACTATGTGTAATGCAGGATTTATATCATCAACCGTACTAACTGAATTCCTATACCGACGGGAAGCCCGCAAAAACTATGCTAAGTCCCAGCTCCTAAGCCCCAACCTTCCATAAAGCTTTAAGTACCCCAAAAGGGACCCTAATTGGGGTTGTGGTACTTATAAGTCCCGAAAATATCCAGTTACTAAGTCCCCCGACCCTCCAAGTAGTCACCCTTAACCCTTAACTCCTTCAACCCCTCAACCTCGAAGACCGAGATCGGCTAATCCTGCCCCCCCGAATGTAGGAACCTGATTCAGAAACCTTGGGCCTTTACGAGGGTTCCTTATATGAATCCCACTATTTTGGGGTTATAGGCCCAGGGTTTCTTAATCAGGTTCCTACATTATAAATTTTCAATCCCAAGCCTTGAAAGCTAAAGCTCTAAACTCTGAAACCCAGGGCTTCAACGCCCCCCCCCCCCCGATCCCAGACCAAAAAACGAAACACGCTACACTCTGAACCGTAAGCCCAACAGCTTTAACCGCTACCTCAACCCGGAAGAACCTACATTTTTGAGGACCTATATGACCTATATCAAGAAATCAGAATAAGGAACCCTAAAAAGGTAGGTTATTCAGGGCTAAGGTAACGCCTCAACCGCCCTCGTGGAGCCTTATATTGTTCAGTTCTGGAGATGAAGCCCCAAACTCGTGATAGAACCGCGCTTATGCATCCTCTTAAGAGCCTAAACATTGGAACCCTTCCCGAACTCCGACAGAGCCCCGAAAATGCCGAATCCTTGTAGAACCCCGAAAGAGCCCCTATAAAACCTAGGAGCCCCGATTAGAACCCCTACATAAGGGTAGTTGTCAAAATTATGGTCCCCTTTTTGGGTTCTTAGTATAATACGGCACCTAATATTTCGGGTACCCAAAAAGGGACCATAATTTCGACAACTACCCATAAGGGAACCTAACGAAGAAGCCTGAGCCCGATAGCTCGAAAGCCAAAGGTCGGGGCCTGTAGGGCTTGGCTTTTGAGCGTACAACCTGCGAGAGGCTTTGTTTTTTTGAGTGCCTTTTTCCAACTGCAGAACAGATGAAATCCCTCCGGTTTAGGGTTTAGGGTTTGAGGGTATGCTTAGAGGTTCATGGGTAGTTACAAGTTAGGTTATAAGTAGGGTAACTATACTTATATCCCATAACTACCCTAAACCCACTTATAACTACCCCTGAACCTCCAAGCAGCGTTCACGGTTTCTTTTAACGACCACTGCGCGTTTACGTTGCAGGGTCGAGCTGACGGCTGAGCTTTTGGAGTCCATTTTTGCTTGGAGGGTCGGGGGACTTAGTAAGTAGGTAGTAAGTAGACTTATAAGTACCCTAAAACGGACCCTAATTGGGGTTATGGTACTTATAAGTCCTTAAAATAACCCCTCCAAGTGGGGCTTTAGCGGAGGAGGGCAGGGTTTTTGGGATTCAGGGTTTTAAGGGGAGGAGGGCGGGTCTAGGGTTTCGCGTTTTCGGTTCGAACCTATTACTAAAGATGCAGGGTTAAAAAAGTAGGTGCTCAGGAGCATTATTCCTAAATATTCAATCCACTACCTTAGAGCTCGCGGTTTAGGGGTGGGTTTTCCGTCGAGTCCAGAATTTAAGCCTCAAGACTTCGGCTTTGGGGTTGAGGGTACAGATGCTCGTGGATAGGCCTAGGTGCTTTTTGGCTTGGGCTGTTCTGAGAAGGCAAACAATCGTTCAGGCATTCACACCTTGCCGAAACGCATGGCCTCGGCCGCTACGCCGTTGAGGCTACAAGAGACCGATGTTCCGTGAAAAGAGCCAGAAACGCAAAACTTCGATAATCGGGTTTCACGGCCCTCATGTAGGATTTAGGGTTTAATTTAGGGTTTAATGTAAGGGCCTGAATAAATAGGGCTTTGGGGTTCTGGTGTATTCATATTACGTGGAAAAACGGGATACTATTGCGAGTTGTTCCGACCCTGCAGGGAGCTTGGCGAAGTGTCAATCGCTTCACTCGGGCCATGGAGAGTAAAGATGAGTCCCACAGGGCGATCCATGACGCTAAGCGTGGCTTGTCCGTCAATCGATAAAGGTTCAGGATCACTTCGAGCAAGAGACCTTCAACGAGCCATGCAAACTTTGGTCGGCGACAAAGCGGCATTGAGAAGCTGGTCATAATCTTCTGTTGTGGAACGTTGGGGTCACCCTTCAAGCGGCCTCGTCGCCTCATGGGTCGGCGCTTGCCCCAAACCCCAGGATCTCTGGGAGAGGGGCACAATGCTTATTCTCGTGAGACATTGTTGAAGCAGGGTGATGTCCGGATGGCAGATTCACGTGCAGTGCTGGGCAGGCTGTCGTTTGTGTCACTTTGCTAACTTCTGTCCGCTCTGGGGGCCGCTGTATGCCTGGAGCGCGGCGATGGAAGCCTTCCACCGTCGCCCCTTATCAAAGCCGGTGATCGACCGCTGCTTCACTGTGCCTCGGGCGGTGTGCGGAAGACCTTCGCAGTTGTCGCGGCGCACCGTCAGTGGGGGTGACCAGGGGGCTTGCCAAAAGCTTTAATCCACTGTTGCCATCGCCCTGCGTGGCAAGTCAGCTTGCGAATTGGATGCTCGTGGTGACCGGTGATCTGGACGCCGCCAAGTTGCCATCCCAAAGCTCCAAAGCATGAGTACTGAGACACTTGCCCGGACAAAATCCAACCCAGCACAGCGAAACCTGACACATCCATGCCCGTTAAGAGGGTTTAGAGTTTATGGCTTAGGGCGAAAGCTTTCCCAGACTTGCCTCGATAAAGGTAGTTCTCTAAGTTAGGGTCCCGTTTAGGGTCCCTCTCATAAGGGCGCCGCATGACATTTTAGGACTCAACAAGGGGCCCTCTTGTCGTGAACTGCCCATATACCTCCTTGTGACAAAGCCAAAAGCAAAGCCGCAAGAGCGGAATGCCTCGGCTTGTGCGCCGTTGTGCGCTCGCAGCACGCTCCTGCAAGGGGCGAATTCCTATTATTCACACTCCTGTTATGGTACCTCAACAATTTAACCCTAAACCCTTCAAGGAAACCTTATACATCCCCTTAAAGGAACCCGAATAGATCCCTATTATGGTAACTTAAACCTTAAACCCTAAACCCTTCAAGGAACCCTTCTACAT